ATAATCAATACAAAGAAAGCACTCGATGAAAATGATAGAATTACAAGAAAATTTACATCAAAAGATAATAATATTCATTGTACACTTTCTGTGAATGGTGTAAACATATTAGTAGTTCGTTCTTTTGATACAGAAGATGAAAAAACATATGAAGAAACAATTTTAAATTGTATTGATTTGTTTGATTCTAATAATTATCCTATTCAAGTCATATTCCCAAAGAATGGAGGAGGATATAGTAATTATTCACAATGGATAGAAAAGATATTATCACCATATGATGATGTTAATTATATAGTTTCATTGAGAGAATCAGACTACACAAAGCATATGTTAAAAACAGGATTTGCTGTAAATTTATATGATCCAAAAACATGCCAACAAAGAAGAAGTAAATGGACAAGTATAATTCCCATAATAAATTCATTCCCACTTGGAGGTTGGTACTCAAATCCAAATATTATTAAATATGGTGATGTTGAACATAAAGTTACACAGCCATCAATTCAAGTTTTTCCAAAAATGAAATTAATGAAACATCCAAGAAAACCAACAGAAATAGTAGTTTATACAGATTCATTTTGTTATTCAGCATGTTCATTGGTAACAAAAGGATTAAAAGAATGGGGAGGAGCTATTCTTGTAGGATTTGATGGAGATCCATATGGTAAAGATGAAGAATTTGAAGTAGGATTATCACCAACTAATGTTATTGAATCTGTTCCTTTACTCCCTCATATATGGATGGAAGTATATGGATATAATCTTGGAATAAGTGTTGGAGAAACATACAGATATAATTATGAATACAATGAAACAATTCCTAGAGAATTTTTAACTGATATGATTGATGAAAGAGTGAATATTTATCAATTTTCAAATTATAAGATAAATGAATTTGCAGAACAAACAAAGAAAATAATAGAAAAATATCAAACAAAATGTAATCCAAAGAATAAAAGATTAGTTAAAAGAGATAGTATATGTGATAAAGAAATTAATATCAAACATGGACATGGAGGATATGAATGTGGAGATAATGGAGAATGGAGTACAAAATGCGTACTTTCCTATTGTGATTCAGGATATAAATTTGATTATATCAACAATAAATGTATTAAAGACATTTGTTCAAATGGAGTACCAATAAGCATAATAAATGTCAGCATGGTTATTATTGGAATAATCGCATTAATTCTCTAATTGAAGAAAGAATTAATTAAAAAGTATTTTTGTTTAATAAAATAACAATAAATAAATGAAGGAGGAAATAACGAACAAATTGATGAAAAAATTAACTGAATGACAATTTGTATGATAGAAATAATATTTTCATATTTCATATGGTATATTTGTTTGAAATGAAATAAAAAAGAATAAAACATAATTTTAATTAACCATATATTCAAAATAAATAATACAAAATGTGTGAAAATGATGTTATAATTTTAGTTCATTATTTCATCGTCATTTATTTCAATTTATAGAAAATATAAACAACAAAAACATTAAAATAAAATCAAATTATCATTTTGATTAATATTCTTCATCTCCTTCATTATAATTTAGTACTTTCTCTATTTCATATATTTTATGATGAGTTTTACGTTCAGAATTAGTTCGTGGATTAACAACATATCTATTATCTTCGGTAACAATAATTCCTAAATATTCATTAATATCAATTTCATCAAATAACCATTCTCTTTGCAATACTATTTTAAGTTTGAGTAAGTTGATAAAATCATTTGATAATTCTTGAACTTTTTTCAATACATTTAATTGTTCTTGACATGATTCAATTTCATCTGTTATTTTTTGTGCCTCAACAAAGTTATTAAATGACGAATGTAATTTATCTAATTGTTCTGGAGTGGGTTTGATAGCTTTTAATGCTATTCCAAGTGGTGTATTATTTAATGGAAGTGAAGGTAATGAATTAATTTGTTTGTTTGTATTAGATGATTGAATTATTTCTTTATTTTCTTTACTATTAGTTTCAGGTTTTGGTGGATTAGTATTCTCTTTTTTATCATCTTTTTGTTGTTCATTTGTATTTTCTATTTTATTTTGTGTTAACATATA